ACGCACAGGAATGCAGTCCTGGTGACTTCTTCCAGCTTGCTGTCTGCGCCAGAAACATTGAAATCTAGCCAAGGGCTGCAGAAGAAGCTATCCTGTCCGAAATAAATCTCTGTTTGCCTCTTGATGGCCATGGCTGCAAAGCAGAGCAAGTGGCAGCAGAGAGACTCTCGTTTCCCCTTGTTCTGTGGTTTCCTCATACCCCCTCTTGCTTACCATAATGCTCTGACTGATTCTCACTTCCCTTCTTGGTGAACAGTTAGAAGGCTTCGTTTCTGTTCTCTCCGTCTCTCTCCTACTCCTGCTGTATCACTTTGAGCTGTAATGCAGGAGGAGAGGTGCCACTGGCACCAAGCACCTGCTCATGCCCTTCAGTGTCATAGAGCAGATGAGGAAAGAGGTCACAATTCCCACCACGCACAGCCCTTGCCTGATTACATCACCAGGCTCCTACATAGAGGCAGATAAACAGTGCACTGCTCTTCCACTCTCTGTGCATTTTGTGTGTTTTCCAGCATGTCACACAGACAGAAGATCCTGTCCTCTGGGCTTCTGTCTAGCGTGACTGCTTCTTTAATGGCCTTCAGTGGCTAGTGGCTGCTATTGAATACATTCCACTGGCTCTTTAGGGGCCGATGTCTATGGGTAGCATACCTTCCAACATTTCTCCTATCAAAATAGGGACGTCCATTCCATAGTGATAGTTTTAATATTTATGCCCCACACATCTTACTGGGTTGCCACAGCTGCTCTGGGCAGCTTCCAACATATATAAAAACATTATATAGTGGACGCTCAGGTTGCGAACGTGATCCTTGTGGCAGGCACGTTCACAACCTGCAGCATTTGCAACCCGCAGCACCGCATCTGCGCATGCGCGGGTTGCAATTTGGTGCTTCTGCGCATGCACAAAGCACGATTTAGTGCTTCTGCGCATGCACGAGTGCCGAAACCTGGAAGTAACCTGTTCCGGTACTTCCAGGTTTGGTGCGGTACGGAAGTGTCTGTAACCAAAGGCAGTTACTACAGTCTCCAGTGTCATATGATGGAATGAAGCAGAACATGAAATGATACCAGGAGTTCCCAGCAAAGGCCACTCTTTGAACCAAAAGAAAAGTACTGTGAAGAAGAGAGGGGACTGCACAGATGGAGCCTGTGAAGTCTCCTTAAAAATCGAGCCTATATGTGCTCTATTGCACTTATTAAGCCTTGAAGACTGACCTTGGGTCAGTCACCAACTCTCAGCCTAACCCTTTCTGCTGGCAGCGGCTGGGGCAGATTGTCACCCGGCACTGGAAATCTCTGAACAACCTAAACTTATCTGCATGGTATAGCAATGTCTGGTCAGTAACTATAGCTGAAAAAATTATACTCCATATACTACAAGTAATGCAGGCTAAAGTACGGCCACAGTCCTTTTAGGCCACCTGGTGGCCCTTTATTACCTAGGCATCTAACAGTGACATGTAGCGTTATAGCATGAAAGCAATTGCAGCTATTTGGACAATGTTTTGATAATATAACGGCATCCGAGAATCGCTGTTGGTATTAATTCCAGTTTTATGTATTGATCCACAGATATGCAAGTTGTTCCATTTATTGGTTTCTTTGTATTTCTTGGTTTGTTGTTCTCCTTGAGTTGTTTTTAAAAAGTTGAAAACTTGAAAAAAAAAATTAAAAAAAACTCTCAACCTAACCCACTGCCAAACTTTTCAGATCTGTTTAACTTGCCTGGACACTTTTTCTGCTGGGGCTGAAATGTTTCTTCTGCTGGGGGTCCCCATGATAGACTAGTTTCTCCCAGTTTCTGTAGAAGCCCATGAGGTTAGGAGATGTGTCTCAAATTCAGTTTAGCCCCTTGGTAATGGGGAGTGAAAAATGGGTGTTAATTGGGAAGTGGCTGGTGAACAGTGACTAGTGAGGCAAGTGCCAATTGTCTCCTCCTGCTACTGACTGGTTCTCTCCATTCCATCAGGTTTCTCTTCTGCCAGCCATATCTATGACCTCATTGAAATCTAAGCACTCCAGCTGATCCATCTCGGCTTCAAGGCTTCTAGCATAAGCATATAAATATGGTACCTCTTTCCAAATGCTTCTGGAAAATTTCTCTGCTAGTAAATGCAAATTGGCTTTAAAAATGCACCACACATAGTATTATACAGTGGTACCTCAGGTTAAGTACTTAATTCGTTCCGGAGGTCCGTTCTTAACCTGAAACTGTTCTTAACCTGAAGCACCACTTTAGCTAATGGGGCCTCCTGCTGCCGCCGTGCTGCCAGAGCACGATTTCTGTTCTCATCCTGAAGCAAAGTTCTTAACACGAGGTACTATTTCTGGGTTAGCGGAGTCTGTAACCTGAAGCCTATGTAACCTGAAGTGTATGTAACCCCAGGTACCACTGTACTCCAATAAAGCTTCCCCACATAACTTCCACCTCCTCTCCTTTGTGTCGGAGGGAATGCGGGAACAAGGGTACCTATTTCCATTTGTGGTGAGAGTGCAGCAATTTTGGTTAAAGACTTTTGTAGAAATAAAGATTATCAGGGTTTTGCTTTCTCTGTTCAATGGAGTAAATGAAGAAATTAAGGCAAATGATCATGTCATGCAACAGTTCAAAAATTGAAAACTTCATCTGACATTTGGGGTAAATTTGGAGTAAATGAATTTCTCCATGAATAATTCACTGCCTTATGTTTATTATATGTTATTGTAGCGGACTGGGTCTCAAACCCTCAGTGAGTTAGGGACTTCCCCTGCATGTAAAGACAGATTCTGGCAAATTGCAGTCTTAAAATTGTAATCTTTTAAGAATGTGTGCAGTGTTTGGCTCATATTTTTACGTTTTATATATGAATTTGTTGTTTCAAATGCTACAGAATTCACATTTCTTAAAGTAATAAAGCTATCAGTGCTTACTAGCTGTGATGGCTTTTTCAGCCTCCATTATCAAAGGCAATTTGCCCCTGGATACCATTTGCTGGGAATCACAAGTGCTGTGACACCTGGGTCCTGCTTGCAAGCTTCCCATTGGCTCATCTGGTTGACCACTATGAGAACATGATATGGGATGAGGTGGGCCTCTGGCCTGATCCGCCTTTTCACGTTCTTATGGCTATTGCTACAATACCAAAAAAATCATTTATTTATGTACTTTGCCTATACAAAAAGGTTACGTTTTTAATCTCCAAAATGAAGTCTGAAGTGAGATTACAGTAGAGACCCAGGGCTTAACTTCAAATGTGTGGCAGCAGCGTATCCATTCAGTGATGATGAAATGGCAATCATCATTTCAAAAGTTCAACATTTCTTATTGTTTTCCTTTGACAATTGGGGTTGCCATATTGCTTAAGACTTGCTTCATTTTAAAGGAGTGAGGCCAAGAAGGAATGAGGTGCCAGGAGGAAAGCAAGGAGTCCTCTGATAGCTTGTGCCCAAGGGGCCCTAGAAACGGGGAACCGGTTCGGCTGCTCTTGAATGGCTCCTACTTATTTAAACTGACCTGTGCTGAATAATTTCCTGGTGGATTGTGCTTTAGCCAGGAGGCCAGGCTGCCAGACCCGATCTGTGTACAGTGGTACCTCGGGTTAAGTACTTAATTCGTTCCAGGGGTCCATTCTTAACCTGAAACTGTTCTTAACCTGAAGCACCACTTTAGCTAATGGGGTGTCCCGCTGCCGCCGTGTGATTTCTGTTCTAATCCTGAGGTAAAGTTCTTAACCTGAGGTACTATTTCTGGGTTAGCGGAGTCTGTAACCTGAAGCGTCTGTAACTTGAAGCGTATGTAACCCGAGGTACCACTGTACAGCTGAGAGCAGAACTCAGAAAGTGGTTTGTCTTCAACAAAATCAGGGTTAGACACACACCATACATTTAAAGCACAGTTAAACCACATGGTTCCACTCCCCACCCCACCCAAAAAAAGAATCCTCAGAACTGCAGTTTATCTTTCAGAGAGCTACATTTTCCATCAGCACCTTTAATCAACTACAGTTGCCAGGATCCTTTGTGGGAAGTCATATGCTTTAAATGTATGGTGTATATGCAGCCCAAGTCTCCTAGTTGCTCCTGATGTGGAAGCTTTTATAGGAGTCACCTGACCTGCTCTGGCCACCCAATTGGAGGAGGTTTCCTTGGCTGCCTCCCAATTCTCTCCTTTGGCCAGGGAAGGCTGATCTCACACAGGCTGAATCCCTGCCCTGTTTTCTTCAGCTCACCCATTTCCAGACTCACTGTAGGCTTGTATTATGATGCTGGCTGCCCACATTACACAGGCTTGTCTTAAAGGTTGACGTGGAATGCCTGCAAAAGGAATGCCTGCCATCATGTATGCAAGAGTGTGGCCTGACCACAAAACTGGTAGGAACCAGTTAGGAGGAACCTAACACTGTGAGAGTGAAAAAGAGCTCCACATAAGGTACAAGGAGGGCTCTGCATGTAGAGTAAAAGAAACTGGTTGGGCAAAGTTGCATTTCAAGGGCTGTGGTTGGGTGAAAACATGGTGGAATGAAGTGGTTGGCCAGAGGGTGAAATAGCTAAGACAACATATTTTTCGTATACAGTGGTACCTCGGGTTAAGTACTTAATTCGTTCCGGAGGTCCGTACGTAACCTGAAACTGTTCTTAACCTGAAGCACCACTTTAGCTAATGGGGCCTCCCACTGCTGCCGTGCCTCCGCCGCACGATTTCTGTTCTCATCCTGAATCCAAGTTCTTAACCCGAGGTACTATTTCTGTGTTAGCGGAGTCTGTAACCTGAAGCGTGTGTAACCTGAAGCGTATGTAACCCAAGGTACCACTGTATAGTGTTTTCTGAAAGAAAGCTCTCGCAAACTCTTTTAACTCTGTCCTGTAATGCGTTACTGAATAAAGTCCGACCCATTGGGAACTTTTCATGAGCCTCCACACGGAACCTCTGAAGGAAATTTCTCCCCCAAAGTCTACAAAGTCCCAAAGGAAGGGAAGAAACAGACAAGAGACATTGTGGTGCACAGAGGAGCAAACTGTTAGATTTCCTCGCTGTCGAGTACCGACTCAAACGAGTCAGTTGCCACTTCCTCATAGTCCTTCTCCAGGGCGGACAGGTCCTCTCGAGCTTCTACAAACTCCCCTTCTTCCATGCCCTCACCAACATACCAGTGCACAAACGCTCTCTTGGCAAACATCAGGTCGAACTTGTGATTTAGCCTTGCCCAGGCTTCAGCAATGGCAGTGGTGTTGCTGAGCATGCAGACAGCGCGCTGGACTTGGGCCAGATCTCCTCCAGGGGTTACAGTTGGCGGCTGGTAATTAATGCCAACCTGGTAGGATTAAAAGGAAAGGGGAGAAAGCAAGCATATAGACACACACATAAATGGTATCAGTTCAAGCAACCACCTCTAAATTGGAACCATAGAGGTAGAATAAGAATGAGGTGACATACTGCCTGTACTTCTGGTAAAGACTGATGCCTTCCATCATAATTCTCTATGGGAACTGAGTGATGTCCCTCTATTTGTTGGCAACTCTATGGTGAACAGGTGGCGCTGTGGGTTAAACCACAGAGCCTAGGGCTTGCAGATGAGAAGGTCAGCGGTTCAAATCCCCACAATGGGGTGAGCTCCCGTTGCTCAGTCCCTGCTCCTGCCAACCTAGCAGTTGGAAAGCACACAGTGCAAGTAGATAAATGGGTACCACTCTGGCTGGAAGGTAAACGGCATTTCCGTGCGCTGCTCTAGTTCGCCAGAAGTGGCTTAGTCATGCTGGCCCCATGACCTGGAAGCTGTATGCCAGCTCCCTCGGCCAATAAAGCAAGATGAGCGCCACAACCACAGAGTCGTCCACGACTGGACCTAACGGTCAGGGGTCCCTTTACCTATGGTGAAATAGTTTGCAAGGCAGTTCTATTTTATATGGGAAATATCAATAGGGAATGGGATGGAGTGTGACTTTTCCTGGAATCACCAAACCACAGGTATGTTCACCAGCAATTCCTATGGCATCCCCTTTCTCCACGAAACATGTCTCCACTTATTTGCTTTTTTTCTAAACTAAAAAGCTTCAGATGTTCAGAAAAATCCATTTTCTGAATCTTTCCCACAGATTCCTCTCTTGATAAACCTTAATGATTGCATTGGGACCCAGATTTCATGCCAATATTAATCTCTCCTCACCTTGAAGCCAGTTGGGCACCAGTCCACAAACTGGATTGTCCTCTTGGTCTTGATCGCAGCAATGGCTACGTTGACGTCTTTGGGCACCACATCACCTCGGTAGAGCATGCAGCAGGCCATGTACTTCCCATGGCGGGGGTCGCATTTCACCATCTGGTTGTTGGGCTCAAAGCAGGAGCTGGTGATTTCGGCCACTGAGAGCTGCTCGTGGTAAGCCCTCTCAGAGGAGATGATGGGCGCATAGGTGACCAAGGGGAAGTGGATGCGAGGGTAAGGCACCAGGTTGGTCTGGAACTCAGTCAAGTCCACGTTGAGGGCGCCGTCGAAACGCAGGGAAGCGGTGATGGAGGAGACAATCTGGCTGATGAGGCGGTTCAGGTTGGTGTACGTGGGGCGCTCAATGTCCAGATTGCGGCGGCAGATGTCGTAGATGGCCTCGTTGTCCACCATGAAGGCGCAGTCGGAATGCTCCAAGGTGGTGTGGGTGGTCAGGATAGAATTGTAGGGCTCCACCACCGCAGTGGAAACCTGGGGGGCTGGGTAGATGGCAAACTCCAGCTTGGACTTCTTGCCATAGTCCACAGACAGGCGCTCCATCAGCAGGGAGGTAAAGCCAGAACCTGTGCCTCCTCCGAAGCTGTGGAAAATCAGGAATCCTTGTAGCCCAGAACAGGTGTCCGCCTGTAAAGGGAACCATCATTTAGGTGCTTTCCTCACACACGCACAGAGCTTTTTTATTACACCAACGAGCCTGCATAAATAAGATACCCCTCCTGAGTTCTGAAATGTTAGAGTCCAGGAAGGACTGTACATTGTGAAAAGTATTTTGGTCTGTATAAGTAGGCAGGCAGAAGGGTGGAGATTCGGCACCAAAAACATTAGGAGAGGACGGAAACTTTATTTCTCTTTCCATGCAATTGGCAAATGTGATATTAGGAGCCATTTCCTACCTCACTATTCTTCAGCACTGCTTCCCCATCCTTGTATTAAAGGGCCCTCCATTTTATCTAGTCATTCTATAAAACAAGTGTTTCTCCATCTGAATTAAAGAAACACCCAGGTGTCTGCTTAGTGTGGTACAAACTGGCCTCTCCACATCCTTTCTCAACCAATCAGAAAGTGGCTGGGAGAAAGGGATGGATGGTGTATGTGTCCATACATATGCATGAGTGCGTTTCTGTGTGCATGTCTCTCTCTGTGTGTATTTATTTTATTTTAATTTTTGTTAAATATGTATATTGTCCTATACCCATAGATCTCAATCAATAAATCTACTGATTGGCATACGGTAAATATCTATTGTAAAATAAGATGATATATTGACTTACATAAACATAATTATTAGAATGAACAAGTAAATTATAGCTATGACAATCTCCTAATTAAAAGGGATATCTGATGGGTGGAGTTTGACTCAGGTGGACCAAAGGGGGAACTTCTTTTGCTTGGTCCTCAGGTTCTCCAGGGACCCAGCCAATGCGTTTCTGGTTTCTTTGAAGTGCCATTCAATATAACATTGTATTTTTATTTTTTTTTAAATATTTATTCAAAGTTTTTTACATTTATCACCCAACACATATAATCCCATCCCCAACAATACAATAAACAGAAATAACAGAAATAACAGAAATAACAGAAAAAAGACATACAAAAAAGAGGGGGGGAAAGAAATTATAACATCAAATCCAAATTCTTAGTATTCATACTTTCCTCACTTTTGAACTTCCTCACATCTTCCGTTCCTGCTTTCCAGGTTTATAAAATTCTAAACAGCAAATTATCACCTTGTTTCAATTTCTTATTTATGTTTTCCCCATATTATGTCTCTAAATTTAAGTTTATTTTCCAAATGCTTGAATACTTAATTAGGCATAATATTAACCAAAAAATTAACTTTTTCTCACATTTCACCTATTCTCAAATTCTTATCAACTAACTTACTGATGCCACATTTATTTTTACTCTTGCATCATCTTAACACTCATACAATTTACAATGTTTTTGTAAGTAGTCCTTGAATTTCTTCCAATCCTCTTCCACTGCTTCCTCTCCCAGGTCGCGGATTCTGCCAGTCATTTCTGCTAGTTCCATATAGTCTATCAGTTGCATCTGCCATTCTTCCAGCGTGGGCAAGTCTTGAGTTTTCCAGTGTTTAGCTATCAGTATCCTTGCTGCTGTTGTTGCATACATAAAAAATGTACAGTCCTTCTTTAACACCCTCTGGCCGACAATGCCCAAAAGCAAGGCCTCTGGTTTCTTAGGGAAGGTATACTTAAATACCTTTTTCAGCTCATTATATATCATTTCCCAGAAAGCCTTAACCTTAGGGCAGGTCCACCATAGATGAAAGAACGTTCTCAATATAACATTGTAGCCTACCAAAACATGCTTTCAGTTCCGCTGTGCCTTACCAGTTTTCGAATGCGATCCAGTGCTAGCTCAATCCTGTCCTTCCCGATGGTGTAGTGGCCACGGGCGTAGTTATTAGCTGCATCTTCCTTGCCAGTGATCAGCTGTTCCGGGTGGAAAAGCTGACGGTAGGTGCCAGCCCGCACTTCATCTGTGAAAGGGGAAAGGAAGCATAAGGCCTTCCAAAAGGAGCTGAATTTTAATACAAGGCAACCCAACTCTGAATCTAGATAGAAAACCATGGCCTGGTATTTCAATTAAGTGGTGAGCACTCCAACTCCCATCAGCCCCAGCCAGCATGGTCAATGGTCAGAGATGCTGAGATGGTCCAACAACATCTGCTGGGCTACAGGTTCCGAAGTATCTATTAGCTGGGGCATTGCATAGAAAGCTGTGGCTTTAAAGAGTTGAATAGCTTGATTTTTCATACCATTAGAAAAAACTTTTGTTTTCTTAAAGGTAAACGTAAAGGGACCCCTGACCATTAGTTCCAGTCGTGGCCGACTCTGGGGTTGCGGTGCTCATCTCGCTTTACTGGCTGAGGGAGCTTCCGGGTCATGTGGCCAGCATGACTAAGCCGCTTCTGGCAAACCAGAGCAGCACACGGAAACGCCATTTACCTTCCCGCCGGAGCGGTACCTATTTATCTACTTGCACTTTGAGGTGCTTTCGAACTGCTAGGTTGGCAGGAGCAGGGACCGAGCAACAGGAGCTCACCCCGTCGCGGGGATTTGAACCACCAACCTTCTGATCAGCAAGTCCTAGGCTCTGTGGTTTAACTCACAGCTCCACCCACGTCTTACAGCTGAACAATTCAGTAGGGCTTGACTACACACATGGAATGGAAGATTCATCTATTAATGGTTATCCCACCTAAAGGAAACCTGAGGCCCATTGAGGAAATGTGCCCCCCTGAGCCACTATATGATCTCACAAGCATTTCATACGACCTGAGACAGCCTTAACCCACCGACTACAGTTTGCTCCAAGTCCACCATGATAGCTCGCGGCACATGCTTCCCGTTGCCAGTCTCTCTGAAGAACGTAGCAAAGGAGTCGTCATTATTGGAATGGTTCTTTTCCGCAAAGGTGCCATCTGGCTGAATTCCATGCTCCAGGCAGAAGAGTTCCCAGCATGCATTGCCGATCTGAACTCCAGCCTGGCCAACGTGAATGGAGATGCACTCACGCTGCAGAATGGAGAACAGGGTGAAGTCAGAAGACACGACACAGACTCTTTGGGACAGGTGCATTCGTTTTTGCACCCTGTAAGTAAGTAAAGGGACCCCTGACCATTAGGTCCAGTCATGGCCGACTCTGGGGTTGCGGCGCTCATCTTTATTGGCCAAGGGAGCCGGCGTGCAGCTTCCGGGTCATGTGGCCAGCATGACTAAGCCGCTTCTGGTGAACCAGAGCAGCGCACGGAAACGCCGTTTACCTTCCCACCGGAGCGGTACCTATTTATCTACTTGCACTTTGACGTGCTTTTGAACTGCTAGGTTGGCAGGAGCAGGGACCGAGCAATGGGAGCTCACCCCATCGCGGGGATTTGAACCGCCAACCTTCTGATCGGCAAGTCCTAGGCTCTGTGGTTTAACCCACAGCGCCACCCTGTAAGTAGTTTCATGCATATGCTTGGAAAGATTTATTTATTTTTTTAAGTTTGATTTCCCACAATGACCCTAGTGCAGAGTCACTCTGAAACACTTAGTCAAATTAAAATGGTAGCTAGACCTAGTTGCTTGGCACTGCTGGGACTGCTGGACCAGAATTGTCTTAGAACCAAAGAACTGTAGAGTTGGATGGGACTCCAAGAGTCACCTCTCTTCCTCTATCTGTCCCATCTGAATTTGGAGAGGCAATTGAGGTGTTGGACTGGTGCTTGGAGGCAGTGATGGTCTGGATGTGAGCTAAGAAATAGAGGCTGAATCCTGAAAAGACGCAGGTACTGTGTGTTCCGAGTTCTTATGTCAAGGAGGTGGGGAGACAGCCTGTCCAGGACAGCTTTGCAGTCCCCTGGAAGAAGCAGGTCCTCAACTTGGGGGTGCTTTTAGGTTCAATACTATCACTGGAGTGGCCTCCGTGGCTAGGAGTGCCCCTTTCCAGCTCTAGTTCCTTTTGGATAGAAATGACCTGGCCACTGTATTGCGTGCTTTCGTAATATCCAGATTGGGTTATTGCAATGTTCTTTACACAGGGCTGCCCTTGAAGATGATTTGGAAACTTCAGCTGGTTCAAAATGCAGTAGATAACCTAAGTTCTGGTTTTGTGAGACGTGCTGGTGGGGGGCATCTTTCTATGCACTTTCTCCATACCATGCAATTTTTATACCTCTTTTATATCCCTTACTTAGGACTCAGCTTCATTAGTCAAAAAACAACACTTTGAAAGTGTTATAAACATGCAACACCAGATGGCGCCAGAGGGCAAACAAATTTTCTATGTGATTTTTACATAGGTTTTTCTCTCTTTTGTTATAAAACAATTTAATTTCTGACTTTATAGCGTTTTTATTCCTGTGTGTAAATCCTCCCTTAGTCACCTTTTCTTTAAATGAAAAGCTCCATGCCTTTCTGCATAGGGGATCTACTGCATCCCATTGATCACTTTGGTGGCCCTTTCCTAACATTTCCCTTCTACATTCTCCTTTTGGAGCAGTGGTGATCAGAACTGTACACAGTATTCCAAATGTGGTTGAACCATTGATCTGTATAGCAATATTGTTGCTGTATTGGCAGTTTTATTTTCAGTTGCTTTCCTTATCTCTAACATGGAATTAACCTTTTTCACAGCTGCTGCACATAAAGCTATCCATCACTTTTAACTTTTAGGTAATTTTTATTGATGTTTTCAAAATATATATACAATAGATAAACAACAATATTGAACCCCAATATCTTTTTCTGGACCAGTTCAGATGCCATTAGAGTTATGTGGTTGGAATTTTTTTGCTATAGTGTGCATTGCTAACAGCTGGCATAAATAAAATCAAAGGGAAAGCGTCAGTCAACATCAACTGGCAATGTCTGAATAAAACAGAGAGGGATTGAAAGCCTAACCAATATTTGACAGCTCTCTCTCATTTATCATCATAGTAGAACATGATACAAAAAGTAAACCAAGAATGGATTATATTCAAGCAGTACCTGAAAAACTACTGTCACAGCAAAAACCGCCTGGCAGATCTTGAATGAGTCTTGCATTGTACAGACAATGTGTGTAACCTTCATGTTTTTATCTAATTTTTCTTTTTTGGTTATCAAAAAGATTTAAGAAAATAATATATTAACAGGATACTGTAAAACAGAACAAGTATAATTTAGTTTTTGTTTTTTAGAACAACTGGAAGTCTATTTTAGGTCTTTTTAAAAATATATATTTTTATTTTTTCTGCGGTATGGGATGGGATACAAATTGTAATATATTGCTGTATAATTTTGTAAAATATGTTTAATAAAGAATTCAATTAATGGGGGGGAAGAACATGGTTAAACTATGGAACTCGCTAGATGTTGTGATAGCTACCAACCATGATGCCTTAAAAATGTTAGATAAATTCAGGTAAGCTAAAGCTATCAGTGGCTCCTAGACATGCTGGCTATCTTCTATCCCCAGTGTCAGAGGTCTTATACTAGTTGCTGGGAATCGCGAGTCAGGAGTGCTGTTGCACTCAGATCCTACTTGTGGGCTTCTCCTTGGCACCTTGGAGAAAAGGGTGGGATACAAATGCAATCAAGTCATTCAGCTGCTGGCCTGGAAGCTGACTGCTGCAGCATCAACATTGCCATCACAGAACTGATGTGATGGTGGATAAAATGCCAGGGTGTAGATCAGGGAAGGGAAACCTGTGGCATTCCTGATGTTGTTAGACTTCTAACACCCACCAGTCCCAGCCACTAGGGCCAATGGTCAGGGATGGACTTAAAAGCCCAGCAGGATTTGGCGGTTCCCCAACCCTGATCTACACCCTGACATCTACACCACATCAATCCTGTATTGTCAAATTGCCTTGATCTTCTACCCTTTCAATAGTTCTGAAGCAGAGGAAACCTTCTCTCCCCTTGGTACCTTCCATGTGCAGGAAGCTCCCCTTCCTTCCTTACCATGGTGCCTCAAGTAGTGCTCACTCTCGCTCCCGATTAGCAACAGCAGCTGTGGATGTTGATGTTCTCACTGCTGTCTCGCTCTAGGCAGCTGGGTGCCAAGGACCCCAAGCCATGCATGCCACCCCCAGGGAGTGCCATTGAGCATCACAGTGCAGGGGAGGAAGGTCATAATCACCCTTGGCAACCTCCCCTTTCCTGCTCCTGCCATTTACATCACTGAACACTCACTCACTCTCAGGTGGTGGGCTCAGCAGAAGCCATCTGCCCATGTCCCCTTCCCCACTTGAAATGATAGGAGCTAGTTCCTCTTGGCTCTGTTTTATTCTCTGAGCAGAACCCGGTTCTTTTCCTGGGACTCTGCCACTTCTGGCTTTGTGTAGGGGTGGCTTGTTTGAATGCTTCTGCCATGGACAAGTTTTTTTGGGAAAAGCTCCTTGCATGCAGGGAAATATATCTCAAGGAAGCTGGGCTGAATCGTTTCCTATGTAGAAGGAGTTACCTGTCCCCACTGGGAAGAATTCAAATTTGCAAATACCCACCCTCATCTTGAAGTAGTAGAGGCCATGGAAAAGCTTTCCCATTTGATTCTACTGAATGCTCCATTTTTTTCCTGAGTTCAGGACATTGAATCTGTTGAGTAGACCTTGGAAGACACATCACAAATCCAACAAAACATAGGTATGTGGAACCTGTGGCCCTCTAGATGTTGTAGGACATCTTTCATCTGCCTCCACCAGCCAATGACCAGAAGTGATGGGAGCTGGAGTCTAGCAGGAGTCTAGCAGCATCTGGAAGCCACAGGTTGTCCATCCCTTGATGGTTGTCCATCAACTTTCTCTGCCATCTTCCTACCAATGGCTTGTCATCTAGCGGAGCTGTTCCAAGGGGTTAAGTATTCTGAGGGGGAAAGGGCACTGTGTTGGCCTAGAGCAACCAGTTTGCAAGGCACCTTGCTGATAAAGTCATTCGTGTTTGTTTCAAAATAGATCCCGTTCTCATTGTGAAGTCTATGGAAGCCTTGGTAGAATCATAGAACTGTAGAGTTGGAAGGGACCTTCTAGAGTCATCTAGTCAATGCAGGAATCAAACCCCCTACCCTGGGATTAAGAGCCTCATGCTCTCCAGACTGAGCTATCCCTGCTGTCATCTGGTACTGCTGTTGCATTCATAACTTTTTTGCAGGTTTCACATAGGCATGTGGTTGGCTGCTGTGAGAACTGGAAGTGGAGTTAGATAGGCCTTTGATCTGATCCAGCAAGGGCACTTCTTATGCTGTTACCTGCTCATCCTGTTTTAACAGGTATGTTTTAGCCTGAGGATGTGGACAGGGTGCTTGGAGGTGTTAGGCTGATCATCTGTCCTCTTGGCCTTCGCCCATCCTGACTCCTTAAGGCAGCCAGAGCATGGCAGGTCAATTGGATGGGGCAGGTTGTAAAGAATGGTGAAGTACCATATGGACTGAGTTGTAAGGCATTATCAAAGGAGCCTTCATCAGATCCCACCATCCTAGGCGATTACCTGCTGGTTTCCTATTTATGCTACTTGGGCAAAGTGCTCAATGTACGATCTTTATCCTTTGCAGTATGGCTTTGGCACTGAAATATCTGTCACACTAGTGGATTGCCTGTGCTGTGAGCTGGACAAGGGGACTGCAGGCCAGTTGGACCTTGCAACAAGCTTTTAATACCATTGACCATCCCTTTGGGATGGGAGGCGCTGTTTAGCAGTGGCTGTAGTCTTATCTTGCAAGTCAGTTGCTGAACATGGCGTTTAGGGATTCGTGTTTAATTCCTTGACCTCTGTCCTACATCACAAAGGTCTCCAGTGTGTCCCCTGCGTTATTTCACACCCACATGAAACAGCTAGGAGGTTATCTGGTGTCAGTAATATGCTGCAGACACCCATCTCTAGCTCGCATTTCCTTCCGTCCGTCCAGGGAGGGTGTGGAGATCCTGAACTGCAACTTGAGAGCAGTGGTGGGTTGAATGTGGGCTAATGAGTTGATACTTTAAGCCAGACAAGACAGAGGCACTTCTGATCAGTAGGAAAGCCAATCCAAGATTAGACACACACCTTTACTGGAAGGGATAGCAATTTCCTTGAAAAACCAAGCTTGTGGTCTTGGGTGCTTCCGGACAATGACTGCAGCACACACTTTGCTGGGCTGCTGAAGTGTTCGGAAACTTCGGCCGGTGCCAAATGCAGCAGCTAGACTTGCGTTTTTGAGCCTATTAACTCCAGTTGTGTTCAGTCTTCTCTGCCCACCTGCTTGCTTCCAGCGCTTGCTCTTGCCCTTAAAGCCCTTTGCAAAGCTTCCCCACATTCCCTCTTTAAATCAAGGACTTCAGAAGTTTAAAACAGCAGCTCTGGGTGGCTTACAAAACACCCTTTGCACTTGCCCAATGGGCACCCAACAATCAGCTTGGCTGTCAAGCACTTGGGGACCCTAAATAGTGAGAAGGTGGGGAGGGGTATTACTCAGAAGGGTAACCTTCTCACTATATAGAAGGATCTGGCAACTTCTGTTTCAGTGTATCTGAAGAAGTGTGCATGCACACGAAAGCTCATACCAAGAACTAACTTAGTTGGTCTTTAAGGTGCTACTGGAAGGAATTTTTTTTGTTTTGACTATGGCAGACCAACACGGTTACCTATCTGTAATTGGGGACCCTAAGTAAGGGATTTTGACCAGACAGTTGAAGAATTTCTGCCTTCCATGTGAGCCTGCCCACCCACTGTGATTTTCATCAGAGGCGTCACTCTGTCCTGTTGCCAGTGGAGGTTTGGCATGGGGAAGAGTCCATTGGGTTGCACTGCTCAAATTTTGGAACACCCTACCTTGGCTGTCCTGATTAGTCCCCTTATTTGTCAATACCTGTATTTTCTAGCAGTCTTTGGAAGAATTTTTTCCCTTTGCTGCTAAGAGTTGTAATGTGGCTTGCTTTGTTTTGCTCTCTGCTTCGTTGTATTACCTCTGTCCATTTGGATAAGGGAAGCAGGTGGCGCTGTGGGTTAAATCACAGAGCCCAGGACTTGCCGATCAGAAGGCTGGCGGTTCGAATCCCTGAGACGGGGTGAGCTCCCGTTGCTCGGTCCCTGCTCCTGCCAACCTAGCAGTTCGAAAGCATGTCAAAGTGCAAGTAGATAAATACTTCCAGCGGGAAGGTAAACGGCGTTTCTGTGTGCTGCTCTGGTTCGCCAGAAGCGGCTTAGTCATGCTGGCCACATGACCTGGAAGCTGTACGCTGGCTCCTTCTGCCAATAAAGCGAGATGAGCGCCGCAACCCCAGAGTCAGTCATGACTGGACCTAATGGTCAGGGGTTCCTTTACCTTTACCTTTTACCATTTGGATAATATCCATATGACACATTTGAAGCACATGGCTTCCCACTAGGAATCCTGGGAACTGTAGTTTGTGAAAGGTACTGCAAAGTGCAGCTCTGTGAGGGGTAAACTACAGTTGCCAGGATTCTTTGGTGGGGGAGTCATGACTGTTAAAAGTGCTACAAATTTGCTTTAAACCAGGGTTTCCCAAACTTGGGTGTCCAACTGTTTATTTGACTACAGTTCCCATCATCCCTGACCACTGGTCCTGCTAGCTATGGATGATGGGAGTTGTAGTAAAAAAACCAGTCAGAGACCCAAGTTTGGGAAACACTGCTTTAAACGAATGGTGTGGACGTGATCACAGCTTGCGATCTGTCAGGGGACAGGGGCATTTCCTAACTGGGACCAAAAGGCAAGACGGAAGTGATTTAAATAAAATTAATGTTACAAATATACATATATAATACATAAATCAATATCACAGAATCAAAAATACGAAAAAAATCAGCCTTAAACAGAAGCTCCAAGAACTCAGTTATAAAGATATCTAGTTGGCAAGTGTTTCTAGGTGATCATATACAAAGCCACCAAATTCCAACTATCTATCACGGAAATGCTTTATCAGTCCCATCGCTGTGGTCATGACACAGCAGATACCCCGCCCAGATACTGCGCTGCCACTATCCTTAATTCTCGAAGAAGTCTGTGCCTCACTGCAGGTTCTCTCTCAACAGCTGCAGTCACCTTCATTGACTTGCAAGTGGCTTCTCCGTGGTCCTCCAACAAGCACTGCTTCAGCATCATATAGAAGGCAGTGGAGTCAGTTAGTCTTGAACTGGAGGCCTGGAGTGTGGAGAAAATGCAGCCAAGCGGGCTTGATGGAAAAGCTGGATTAGCCTGTTGAGGAAGGGCAGAGAAGTGGGAGATGCTGGAAAAGAGAAGAAGAAGAAAAAGATGACTTTCATTTCTCATATCTACCCATAACAATAAGCAAATATTATTCATGACACTGGTCAAACATTCCTCCTCCAAATGTAAGCACCCAATGTCCCAAGGGTTCTCATACAAATAAAATAAACCACTAAGGTATCACATGCACCATAAGTTTAAAACACTGTCGTATCACTTTAACAGCAACGGCTCCGCCCCCCAAAAAACCTGGGAACTGTAGTTCGTTAAGGTAGCTGAGTAGTTAGAAGACCCCTCAGAAAGCTACCATTCCCAGCACCTAAAACAAACTACCATTCCCAGACTCCTTGCCTGAAACCCAAGTGAGCCATTGTCAGTGCTAGATCAGCCAAGAGTCTAACTCAGGAAGCTGTCGTATACTTGGTTCTTATGCAGCTACTCCCTGCCAGGCCTTCTACTCCTTTGGTCCTGGACCTCGCTTGAATTTGGGGCTCTCATTCCATCCGACTCCAGATACGGCAGACTTGACCATATCCCCAGCAGTCTGTGCTTTACAAGTCATTCCTGAAATCCCAAACATGGCCAAGCAGCACTGTGTGTCAATACATACACACACACACACACACACACACACACACACACACTGCCATTCCAGATACACCCCCACATAGGCTAAATATTTCACACAGTAACAGCTGGATACTTCTCCTTTCCCTTCCCCTCCCACTGTCTCCCCTCTCTCAAGTATACCTGGGTCAAGTCTCACGACAATGAGACACAACATGAAAGCAGCCAAGAGTGTCTTTCTGTAAGGGATGGAACACAGCTGGCCTGCCAAGGATCCCAACACTCGACCCAGCTGTGCCAATATGGTCAACACCTTTTGGGATACCAAACCTGCAAAACGAAAGGAAGACGTTACGCCAGGGAAAGTGGTGAGGAGGCACCGCTCAAAAGAAACTTTTAAAAGTTATTTCCAGAGAAGATTCCATGAAAAATAACCTCCTTTCTCCCTTAAAAAGCTCTCCACTGTTGTCATGTGAGGACTGTATAGCCAGCACCGATTTCTTGTGGCTGATCAAGGAAATGCTTTTGCCCCTTAGCATACGCTTTATCTATGCTAATAGTAAAACCCAGTGAAGTTGTTGAAAGTGTGTCCCCTTCGCCCGACAGTTTCATTAAGCTGTCTGAATGCCGTAGGACTGCAATTCTCTTACTAGATTAATAGAATTGTAGAGTTGGAAGGGATCTCAAGAGTTATCTAGTCCAACCCCCAGCAATGCAGGAATCTCAGCTAAAGCATCTGTGACAGATGGCCATTCGACCTCTGCTTAAAAACCACCAAGGAAGGTCAGTCCACAACCCCCCAAGGGAGACTGTTCCACTGTCAAACAGCTTACTGTCAGAAAGTTTTTCCTGATGTTTAGTTGGAATTTCCTTTCTTGGTTCGAGTCCTACCCTCCAGAGCAGGAGAAAACAAGCTTGTTCCCTCTTCCACGTGACAGCTCTTCAGATATTTGAAGATGGCTGTCATATTTCCTCTCATTCTCCTCTTGTCCAGGCTAAACATAACCACCTCCTTCAACCACTCCTCATAAGGCTTTGTTTCCAGACTTGGCGGCAAGAAAATTTATATACTCCAGGCATCTATGGTTTCAGCTGCAAAACACGTAAGACTGCTTTTAAGAAAAGCCTACCCAACCGTTGCTTCCACACCATTTCTGGCCGCTCGTCAGGAAGCTGGCACTCCTCCTCTTCCTTCTGCAGCCACTGCTGCCTCTGCTCCTTAATGCTCTCATAGGCCTCCACCTGTTGCTCTTTGCTCAATGCTTTACAATCTCGGATTAGCTCCTCTGCCTCTGCAAAGAGCCTGAGCGGCAACAGCACATGGAACAGGTGCAGCTGAGCCAAGAGGCCGTAACTAGGCAGGTGCTGATTGGCTGATGAATGTAACCAGTCTCTGGCAACTTCTAGCATCACATGAGGTTCTTCCACTTTACTATGCAGGAGGATGCTGAGACGGAAACAAAGCAATACCACCACTTTAATATTACTACAATGACACCATTGTATTTGCATATTATTTTTCCTATGCATTCTCAAGAAAGCCCTTGACACAAAGGAGCTAGTATAATTTAGTGCAGGGCTCTATCTGACCCTCAGAACACTCTCCAAGCAAAACGTCCTTCCCAGACAAAATAATAATAATAGTAATAATAATAATTTATTATTATTTATACCCTGCCCATCTGGCTGGGTTTCCCCAGCCACTCTAGGAGGCTTCCAACAAAAGATTAAAAATACATTAAAACATCAGTCATTACAAACTGCCCTAAACCGGGCTGCCTTCAGATGTCTTCTAAATGTCAGATAGTTGTTTATTTCTTTGACATCTGATGGTAGAGCGTTCCACAGGACGGCCATACCACCAAGAAGGCCCTCTGCCTGGTTCCCTGTAACTTTGCTTCTCGCAGTGAGGGAACCACCAGAAGGCCCTCGGCACTGGACTTCAGTGTCCGGGTTGAACGATGGGGGTGGAGACGCTCCTTCAGGAGAGATCATATGACTTACTGCATCTCCATACAAAAAGAAAATCCATACACACAGAAAACTAGCATGTCTGGCAGAAGACTAGGGTGCAATGCCTCTTTCTCCCAGATATCTAGTTTTCTGTATGCAGGGAACTGATCTGCATGAAGGTGCACTCAGCTATGCAAGCTCCCACCCGCAGCCTAAACTGGTACAGTCCAGTTACCACCCCCAAAATACAATAATATAACTCTGTGTCTGTAAGAGCAGAACCCACCACAGCTCTAGAATTCTGGAAGGCCAACATTCAGGCTCGTGATAGTACTGAAGAATCCAAGGCAGGACTTCTCTCCATCGGTTCATCTCAGCCAAGGCCTGGATACCCACAGTGCAGAAGGAGCATTTCAGTTCTTCAGAGCTGATTCAGAAAATAGATGCACAAAATGTAATTATTATTATTATTATTATTATTATTAAAAATTAACCCCACTCTGCTGCGGAAAAGGACTCCCAGAGTGCCATACAAAGATCAGCAACAAGACTGGAAGTCTGGGGGCAGGGGCTATCTAAAAGGCATGACAGAAAAGGCAAAGGTATTGGGGGGAGGGGGGAGCAAACACAGACAGTAGTTCTTATTTACAAAGTTTTATAATAACCAGATGGTTAATAGGAGAAGTTCAAGGAGAGGAGGAGCAGGAAGTTGCTGTCTCCCAGCACAGCCAGTGGCCATTTTACCCTTCCCGTCCCTCTGCTGTAACTTGGTAAAATATATTTTTCTGTAAGAAACTGCATTCCTCTGCCATTTGTGCTAACAGGTACTGGAATAAATATCGTTATTTAATTCCCTTTAGAAGAACGACATCAGTTCCAGGACTGGATTGAAGCAACTGGAGACTAGGAGTTTAATAAGTTTACAAAAGTATGGAATTATCGAAGACATTCACACAGAACATTCATAGGGGAATCACAGCTATGTTATAATCCTCACTTGTTCTCAAAATGTACTCTATAATGATAGACAGTGATCTGAACGCTTGCATTGCTTCATGGCTGACTTTATTCTTTGATTCTGAGCAGCATAAAACCTCCACGAACTTTACTAAATATTAAGTACGCAATTGTGTAACTCTTGTACATAGACACACAAACATCGTGTGTTTAATTTTACTAAGCAACTGGGCCTAGGTAATAAAATCTGCCTTTTTTTATTTTAAAAATTCTTGCAAGAGGATGAGCCCCACCCCCTAGATCATGGGCTGCAGATAGCTCAGCACATACCTAAATCTGGCACTGATCAATCCCCCTCTTCCCAGTTCTCACCCGACCTCTGCCTCAATTCAGCACGTACCTGTCAGCATCTTCATTCTCGGGGTCCTTCCTGAGGCTCTCGCAGCCTTTCTCGCACCTGTCCAGAGCAGCCGCGAAGTCCCTGTTCATCACCAGCAGATCTGCAGCCTCTTCCAGTAAGGAAGCTGCTTGGGACGCCACTGGAGACAGAGACACGGGCTCGCTGCTTCTTAAAAGGCTCCCTGCCCCGCCGATGCCAGCAAGCGCCACGGACAGGTCATTCCTCATCATCTCTAGGTGCTGGTTCTAAAACTAAACACTCCGACTGAGCTGCGCTATAGGCCTGGTTGCCTCGCGCGATCAGCAGCTTCAGGACAAAATATTATGCAGCACTCAACAATTTGGGTTTTTGTTTATTATTTTAGCCCACTAACTCTTCTTCAGAGGCAGGCTATTCCCCTCTGCAGTCAGACACCGGCTAGAAAAGAGAGGAAGGGGTGTGTAGGAGGAAAAAAGCTAAGTAAAAAAGAAATTTGTCTTCGGTTGCACCATTCTTCAGAATCCAGAAGATCCCGACTGTCCAGATCTGCAGAATTGCCCAATTGCAATTCTGAGGGGGCGGATCCGCCTTCTATAAAGCCCTGTATCCTATCAAAAGCAAACGCAGTGCAGACCCCGCTCTCTTTCTAGGAAGCAAGATCATCTCCCTACACATTCCGCATAAAGAGCAACAAAAATGCGACTGCCCCTAAACTGCTGTTCGGTCAGCAGCAGAACAGACGACTTCCTCGCTTTACCTGCGCGCCCGCAGTCACGCCGCAAGAGAGCATGCTGGGAAATGTAGTCCCTCTCGCGCGAGAGGGAAAGAAGTCGACGGGAAAGGCTGACTGACGGGAGGCCGGACTGCGACAACCGGAAGGCAGCCCGTGGTAGGAAGTAACGTGGAGCAAGCGGGAGGGGGATTTAAGCTTAGTTCTTTGGCCTCCTCAATTCATAATGTCCCTCCTCGTTAATACAGTACGTAGTTGGAAATTTCTGAGGGTCTGGTTGGACCACTTGGTGATTTGTTTTTCTCCTGCCTGTTGTACAACTGTAATGCTCTGAGCTAGATGTGTAATGGATTTTAATTGCATTTTAATTCCTCCTTTTTTTACATTGTATTACAATTTGACTTCTGCAGAATTCAGTCGAAATAAAATTAAAAAAAAGGTGCTACTGGACAATTTTTAAAATTTATTTCAACTGCGTCAGACCAACATGGCTACCTACCAGAATGTAGAATTCAGGTTATTGCAAGTGTTCTTCACAGATATGCCATGGAACACCTGAACCCAGCTCGGTTTGGGAACACCAAACTTGGATGCTTTTAAGGCATTACCTCCCCATCCCACCCCACTAACTGGTTTTAATGTATTGTTGCAAAAGCCTGGCGCCTGCCAAGGAGTGGCCAGAGCGCATGGGGTCACAGGCACACCTACAGGCTCTGCAGCTCTTCGAAGAACAGAAGACACAGCGGAGACTGTCGTGCTTTGGGAAACAGGGTTTATTCATTTATTTACACCTTCCACCTGCAGGGAGGGGGTCCAGATCTTACAGCATGGCCCAGAGCATTGCAGGCAGTCTTTCCTTCATTGCCAAGATGGATCTCAGCCATTCTCCCTCTTTCTTCTTCCCAGAGGCCCCTTGCCCACCCCCAGAGCAGTTACCCTGGCAGCCCTCCAAATCTCCAGTCACACCCAGGACAAGGAGTTGTCCTCAATGATGGCTCTCTGTTTTAATGCTCTGCTCTTCCCTTGGCCAGCCAGGCTGGTTTGAGTAAGGCAACCCAGGAATCCCCTTGGCAGCTTATAGACTCCCTGCATATCACAAAGAACCCAAAATCCTAGCACTTATTAATTTCTAGTGTTTAGGGGGATCCCCCCTATTTCTATAATACCACCCCCTCAGCAAAAGGCAGTCTTCCATGGCTGTCCAACATGGTTACTACCAGCTTGAAAGATTGTGCTTGAAAGATAGCAGAAAGTTACATCAAAAACACAAGACGACATTTAAAAACACAATAACAGTTCCTTTGTAAGTGGCCCCCAGCTTCCTGGATTCCTCCAAGCCTTTTCTTTCTCTCTCTGCTCACCGTTCTGCATCCCAGTGCAGCTTACCCAGTCACCCACACCTGGCATTCAAGGTGATGGTCATTCAGTTCAACCCCCTCATCAGAACAATTCTCAAACATCATTAACAGTTTTCATCAAGAACATCACTGGACAGAGTAATTTAAACAAAGCGCTTACTATCCCAACACCACAGCATGCACATAAACAAAAGACATCACAGCATTTCAAAGTCATTGTTGAACTTGCAGGCACAATCCCTTTGTAGGTCAGTTCACAGTTCCAAGAGCAGAAACCCCCACCACCTCTTCTTCTGGTAGTAGCTGGGTTTTCCACAGAGTTTCTACTCTTGAGTAAAGCAAACACAGTTCTCAGTCCTTGTTGCTTACGGTAATTCACAGGTTCAGTCCTTCTGGGGGCTTCCTATGCTTCTGGGGTCTCCCAGCAGATTGTGTAGGGATGCCTCCCTCTTCTAGCCCCCTAGGCTGCCACTGGGGGTACTAGCTACCGTGTTGGGCCTGTGGTTCTGTTCCCTGATCCCCATGGTCTGGTCCTGCTGGTTGTTGGGCCACCCAGTACAGAGAATAGCTCTTGTATTTACACATTGGCATTCAATATTTTGACCACAAGCCTTTTTTGTCTCTTGTTCAGAAAACTGTTTTCTTCAATAGTAAAACAATCAAACAAACCTCACACACAACAGAGTCCATATAAACCCCTCTAATTTAACCCTATTTCAGCAGGAGAAAGCTAAGTAAATCAGCAACATTCCCATAGAAGTCCATGGAATCAAGTCCAGGATGCAACAGAACAGCCTGGTCCTATAAGAGAAATTAATAGTAACGTGTTTTTGTACTTTGCTCTTGCGTCCTGTAGGGAGCAGTGTGGAACTATGCAAGACCAACATCTTCAACTTCCAAGATTGCCACCCAGAACAGCAATTGGATATTAAGAGGCTTATTTGAATTCAAACAGGTAACCATCACTAATGCACAACCACATGCAAAACAGCAAAATAACTTTTACTTTGAAATAAAATATTTTTAAAAAACAAGTTGCATGGGAACCAAAGCAATAGCGAAGATGTTAGTATCCCAATTTTGGTAACCTATGTTTTTTGTGGGGAGGTATGCAAGTGCCAACAAGAATGCCCTTTGCAGTGCAATCTTATGCATGCTTACTCAGAAGTACAGCCTACTGTCTTCAACAGGGCTTGTTCCCTGGTAAGTGTGTATAAAACTATATCCTCAGTCTGGAATACAGTATGTAATTTGTGAATGCTGTTCATATGGATGGGACAAGTGTATGGGAGCTCATTTTAAATCAAGTATATGATAACCTGATGCAAAACAACAACAACAACAGACTAGGGAATAATCTCAAGGAGAATAAAATCATAGGAACATTCTGTAGGCGTACTATGAATTATTATGTGAACTGGAAAACGCATTTACGCCCTTCTTTGACAAAAACTTATCATTTAGTCATTTTCTGGCCACTTCGCATATGCGCTTTCAAAACCTGCTTAGAGGAAAGTTACATGAATCACAGAATCATAGAATTGTAGAGCTGGGGGGGGGTGTCCACAAGGGTCATCTAGTACAACCCTCTGCAATGCAAGAATCTTTCACCCTGTCTCATACTGTACCAACTGATCAATACATGAGAAACAACTCACAACAGGTCATGCAGTGAAAAATTAGATGGCTACCTCACATGGATTCAAAGCTCTCCACCAAACTGGAAACCCGCAGGCTGAATTGGCTATTGGATTGTGGTGTTGGATACACAGCTCAGTAGTAGTGCCTATTCTTTGGATACAGAAACCCCCAGGTTCAGATCCCAAAATGCTTCCAGCTAAAAGGACTTACGGTGCTAAGTGCTAGGAGGAAACCTCTGCTGGAGAGCCCAGAGATTTGTTGTAGAAAAGTCTTCCCCAACCTGGCACTCTCCACATGTTTTGGACAACAACTATCATCCTTGAGCATCCTTGAGCCAAGCTAATTGGGGCTGGTGGGAATTGGCGGCCAACATGGTTTGGAAGGCACCAGTTTGGGAAAGGCTGGAGTAGACAGGATTTGACTAGATCAGAGATGGCGAGAGCAATGCTGCTGGACTTTGAACTCTCATTAGCTCCAGTTGGAATGGCCAGTGCCCAAAAACATCTGAAGGGCCACCAGTTCTCCATCCCTGGGACAGATAGACGAGTGGTGTCATTCGGCTAAAGAAAGCTTTAATGCATCAGACAATTCCAACTTTTCAGGCAGGGTATGACACACAAAATATAATTACGCATTATATTTTTATTCCAAAAAGCAACATTTCCTTATTAGGTTTGGATAGCTTACTTGTTATTGCTTTTTACTGCCTCTGAATTCTCCCCTCCTTTCCCCTCCCCACAACACATATTTCTGAAACTGAAGGCAGAAGGAAATTTGTTTGGACACACAATTTCCGCTTTCACTAAAAATAAGGACAAACTCTGCACATACTATATTTTCTGCTCATGGAGAGGGCTTGTGAAATACGAACAATACATAAAAAACAGGAATAAGCAAGATTCCGATCCAAAACAACTGGTATAGCAAAGGTCACTAATAAGACATTTTCTTTCGGCCGAAATATATTGTATTTGTTCAGTTCACATCAGTAAGTCCATTCCTCAACAAAATAACATATACTTGCATTACCTATTTTTTCACTGAAGTGGCAAACTCATGTTTACTTTAAAAAACAAAACCCAAACCCTGTATTTGGGCTATTATGTCTGCAGCTTGGAGCTCATAAATTTGTGTGGTTCTCCCTTCTATATAGAAAACAAGCATGTCGAGATGGATAGTCTAAAACCTTTTTACCTCACACCTTTTTCTGTTTTCAGGGGGCACATTTGTGTAAGATAACTTAATGGAAGTGTCCCCACCTGCAATCTGAAGTGGTACAGCCCAGACACGAGGCTACCACCTCAATAAAAACAGGTCTTAGTCAATAGACCACTGTGAGAACAGAATGCTGGACTAAGACAGGCCTTTGGCCTGTTCCAACATAATAATGATTATTTTCTTAAGATCTGTTAGTATCTCTGCTGATAGTTGGTTTAACCCAGTTATAGTCTTAGTTCCGATTATCAGTACTCTGGGGGGAAAGCTTTAAAACTTGTCGTTTTACATCCACTTCATTGGTTGTCCTCCAGCGTTATCAAATATGTGCTTCCTTTTTGTTATTTTTTCAAGTTACTAGTTTTACATTTCTCTCAACTCATTTAACCTTAGCTTCTTCTTTTTTAAGCAGAAAAGAATATTTCATCTTGCTGTGTATGGAAGGCATTCCTCGCTCACGTTTTGTGATCTTGCATTTTGCTTACTATCTTTGCTAAAAAAAACCTCTGGACCAGAGTAGCCACAAGGTGCAGTAACCGGAGAAACCAGTGAGTAGAAGGAAAAGCTGGACCCTTTGCTGTGCAAATGTTGTATGTGGTTTTAGTCACTCATTTGGTTTGGTTTTTAATGCCCCATCACCCAGTGCGGCTCAAGGGTATTTAGAAATATAGGCACATGCAGTAAGGCCTCCAGGACAAATCACCTCAAACGTTAATCCAGATCGGAACAGTACCGGTCACAGGGCCACAGGGTTGGGGGTGGGCAGTCTTCCGAGCTCCTGGCCTCTTCTGTGTTAGTGGGCTGCTAATTAGAGATTAGCAACACTAAGACTCTGAGCTGGAAGGAGCAAGGCTGTGTAGCTAAGTTTGAAGAGAAAGAAATAGTCACAGCTTCTCATGTTGAAAAGAAGAGGCAGCCATAGCAATGTCATCAGGAGGGGTTGCACACCCTAAAACCAACTGAGAGGAGCATGAAAGACAGGTAGGGAACACGGAATTGTACTATGTAGTTTGCAGGCATGTTTAGCTCATTGAATGCAAAACTCTGCTTTGCTTGATTGGAACGTTTTGGCTCTTTGAACTGAAGTCCAGGATGTATATTGGAGACCCTAATTGTTATTCGTCGGCAACTATGAGAATGGATTGTTGTGATTAGCGCATGCTTGGCATACAGTGTACAACTATGCCTTTCAGCTAGTAATGGACCAGCAGTCTAGTTCAATTAATTAAAAGGGTCTGGATTGTCTTCCCTTCTTTGCTGTTGATAGTGGCCTGGTTCACCACATAACACTAAACCATAATTTAGCAGCTAAATTTTAGCATTATGCAGCCAAGGCTCAATGAGCCCAACAAGGTGTTCATATGCTACCCCTCTCCTTTCCTGGCTGATTTCATAATCCAACTATGGTAGGCTTATTAGAAAACAGATGTGATGTTTGTTTGTTTTTAAAAATCCAAGGATCCCTGGTTCAACTGTAATGCTAAACTGAGATACTTTAAAGTATCCCAACTAAACTTGGGAGATGTCCTTCTCCTAGCCATGTGGGATGAGGAGAGGGGAGGGAGAGCATGCTAGCCTGATGCTTCCCTCAAGCTTGTTACAGTCAATCCATGTAGCACTAAACCATGGTTTATCATTGCGTGCTAATAATGCAGCCAATCAGTGCAGCCTTTGGAATCACACTTTCCCACTCTATGTGTGGGCCTCTCCTGACTGTTTTCTTTCTTGCTGTTGCTGTTGTTTTGTTTTGTGGCTATATCCTGCAACATTGGCACAATACTAGTGCATTAATGCAATAGTATCCAGGACCATCCACAAATCATTCCACTTTATTAGCTGTTCTGTGACGCTTCCCCAATATTCCCACACAACAAAAGCAGGACATAAAAAATAACCCGGAACATTTGTGGTGTGTGTGTGTATAGGATTTCAGCCAAAAGTTGTAGAACATGCACTGATTGGGAACAAAGCAGTATGACTGTCCCAAAACCTTGAGGCTGCTAAGAGTATTGAAAGCAGGATATCACACAACTGGCCTGATATCACCGTGAGCACAAATAATTATGACGGCACAATAAAAAGTACATCTGGAAAGACTTTACATCAAGCATGGGTTGGACTGGATGCTCTGCACAAACCCTTCCAACTCTATGAAACAGTAAGAATAGTGATGGCAAAGTCTTATCAGGATGTGGGCAGAGTAGACAATCGACTTGATAGACCATGAGCCAGATTTTGGTAAACCACCTAGCGCTGGAATTCTTACAAAGAGTGCTGCACTAATCTAATCCGGTGCAAGGCACTTCTTTAAGCAAAAATGTACACACAGGATCATTTGACACGGATTAGTTATGCCCTCACTATTAAGAGATTCTTGGTGTGCATGCACTCTTCTTTTGCAAATTAAGAATGTGTTTGAGTAGATCTAGCCAACACCCAATTGTGTTCCCATTGGCATTCTTTCAGTTTCATCCATGTATGATTAAGAATAAGAGGAGCCCTGCTTGATCAGGCCAGGGGCCCTTCTAGGCCAGCATTTTATTCTCACAGTGGCCAGGCAGATGCCTGTGGGAAACCCGCAAGCAGGACTAGAGCACAAGAGCTCTATCCCCTCCTGCTGTTCCCAGCAAGTGATATCCAGAAGCATCCTGTCTTGGGCTGTGGAGAGTAGAGCATATCCTTCAGGGTTAGTAGCCACTGATAGTCTTGTCCTCTATGTTTCTAATCCTATTTTAAAGCCACCCAACATTCTTTTTTCCCTAAGCCTCTAGAGTTTCTAGTCCATTTGATCTGGTGGAAATGTCATCCACTCTTTCGCCCTATAATACTCCAGTTTCTAATATCTGCGGGCCACCACTATTTAAATTTTGCCGTGTATATACTCTTCTCCACTTCCTTGCTCTTTTCATTGAAGTTGATCCGTGGTCCTCCTTTTAAATTCACATTTATTGGCAGGCTGTGCGAATTAGCACTGTAGTATCTTTATTTACATTGTACAGATGGAATGTCAGAAGGGATTAGAAGAACTCAGAAACCAAGAAAGAGCCAGGAGCCACTATTGCCTTCACTTACTATTGTTTCCCTTGCTGTCTGCCACCCATGAGGTGGTTAATGAAAGTCTGTTTTGCAAAAGCTGGCAGTTCTCTGCGGTTGCTAGGATACATTGCCCTGCTCTCAAGGAAGGATCAGCTAATTAAAGATTGTTCTGATGATGAAATGTTTCTATATTCGTGTTCCATTGGTCAACGGCACTGTCACTCAAGTTTTCAGCTGGGGAATATCTGGGTGGAATTCTGTAATTTACTGAATGCGTCTGCTGTGTATTGCTTGTGTTAGTAATTTTTTCATCCCTATATCCCAGTTCTAATAAACATGGCTATCTAGAAGCAAGTCCTGCTGGGATTCAAGAAAGGTAATTTAGGATTTCAGCCTTAAAGGCAGATTGAAAATTTGTAGTGTTCAACCTGTAGACGCAATAGATATTTGGAAGTAGTTTATACATTTTTATAAGTCACATTTTGCTTGTGTCCCTATTAAAGCTCTTGCAGGCATAGAGCTCTACTATGTACATCTTGAAAGTCAGCCTTAATTTTAATTTTTAAAAACCCACCAAAACAAGTTTCTAGCCTTCATGCTTACTTAGTGGAAGGTAAAACACAATCCACATGGCTTTTTCTTTTTAGGCAGCAATCCTGTATTCAGTTACCTGGAAATAAAATGCCTTGAAGTCAACGGGTCTTACTTTTGAGTAGACTCGACTGCATGCTTCGGCATGTAAAACCACACTTTCTTTCTCCTTACCGGCCGGTTCTCCTTCCTCAAGAGGTGTTAGAGCAAAATTGGATACAGCTGCAACTGGGATTAGATTTCTAATTAGTTAACTGTCTCTGCACACAGTTGCTTACTTTTCAGTGGGGGTGGGAAGGGCAGCAACAAGAAATCTGACCCTGACCTTCTTCTCCTACCTTTCAACTGTAAGTGAAACCTGAGCTTCAAGGACAGAGGGTTCCTGCATACCTCTGTATACTCTGCATTAAAAGGAATGGAATTATGTGCAAAATATCCTACCCTCTGAAAAGAAGCCAAAATTCTGAGCCTTGGCTAAATAATGCAAGTAAAGCATGTTTGCATAACAGTGCTTATTTTGCATAATTCAGATTGCTTCTGCTGGGTCCTGGAAGTGCCAAATACAGCCCTGACTGAATACCCCTCCCCTCCTGGTCTGCTGGAAATCCTGCTCAATCCTCTGCCCCTCCCCCGCTCCTGAAATCTCATCAACTATTATCCAAACAGTTTCAAGGTTATATTTGCAGTCTTAAGGGCTAGAAAGTTTCTGGGCTCTTTTTAATAAAAATTAAGCCTGCGATTTTCGGGATGCGCTTAGTAGCAATATCTGTGATTGCAATAGTGTAAGAGCTGGCAACAGCTGCAGCTCGCTGGTCAAAGCTTAGTGGAAGGGTGAAGGTGGTAAGAGTGTTTACCTTGCCTACAGAAGCCCCTAGGTTTGATCCCTGGCATCTCCTGGTCGGGCAAGTTGAGACCCCTGCCTTCAACCCTGGAGAGCAGCTGCCAATAAGAATGGGCAACTCTGAGGTAGGCGGAACAAACTGCCTGATTCGCCTACAAGGAAAAAGCACACCAAGAACTCAGGCCAATGTAAGTTTCAATAGTGGGAGTGGTCCCTACTCACAACTCAATAATCAGTAGAAACAAAAACTAATCCATTCAAAAGTATGTATTATAATAAAGATTACAAAGTCAGTTTAGAGACTCAGTTTCAATCACTGAGCAGAAGCCAGTTATGGATTGGAAACCAGGACAGGGCCCTGTTTCGATGTATTCACCTTCATCAGCTGGAAGTATCAAATATTACATGAAAATACATTTAAATTCTAAATTATCATGAATTATACAACAGTCATAATGATTGAAACTGAGTCTCCATCTGCAAGCTATTAAATCATAAGGATCAACATTATTGTTGAGTGAAAAGGAGAAAATCTTTGTAACGAATTACAGTTTTATACATATCTCTTTGAGTTTGTAACCTCCGTTAGAGTTTGTAATCTTTATTATAATACATAGTTTTGAATGGATTAGTTTTTGTTTCTATTGATTATTGAGTTGTGAGTAGGGACCACTCCCACTATTGAAACTTACATTGGCCTGAGTTCTTGGTGTGCTTTTTCCTTGATTCGCCTACAAGGCAGCTTCCTATGTTCCAAATGCAGCCAAAATGCCTACAGCTCTTTTGCAGCTTTAATGAAATTGGGGAGGAAGGTTAACAGGTCATTTGGCAGAGAAGTGTTGCCCATGGTTCTGAAGTTCTCAAACAGTACTGAATAGTCTGGAGGTGTTGGCTTCTGTATGGGGCTCATGCTCAATGTCTGCCTCACTCTTGACAGTCAAGTGACAATTAACATTGCATGCACTGGTTCCTTTTATCAGGAAACCCCATAAGGCATATCCTTGAAAGGCTGTTGAAATGTGGGTGCCATGAAAAAAGACCCATGTGATTTGGAAGCCACAGAGGCATGTTGGAGGAAAG